TCGTAGAATCAAAATGTGTAAAAAAAAAAAAAAATGGTATGTTATTTCAGAAAAAGTCCGATTTTGTGTCAAAATACCTATGTTAGAATAGTGCTATGTATAAATCTAATATATATCCTAAGTCGCGCTTTCGAGACATGAAAAACGCAGTTTGAATTTTGTCAATCGGCCCAGTAGAACGAGAGATACAACACTGTCCACCCCCCTTTTCTTTCTTTTTTTTTTTTTTAGCAGTGTACATCGACCGAGTTCGAATGGTGAACCTGGGTGGCTGCATAGGAGTTTTTGTGGTTTTCCGCACGGGTAACGTGACATCAGGCCAGTTTTGCTTAAAAAGTCCTACACAAAGGCATCCCTCCTCAAGGCAGGTAGCTCTCATGTTGCTTTGGCTTGATCAATTAATCTTACCTCAAGAAAATTATTAAAGAAATTTTACTCAGTGAGCTTATTCCTGAGAGGTCAGAAATCTGTGGTGTTCAATGATTTCATTCACTAAACTTCGAGAGATAAAACTCACAGAGCGATCAATAAACTCACATTATTTACAACTAAATTTTTGACCGAATACATTTTCCGCTCGTTATCTAGAATTCGACATAATCATAACTATTAATTATTATACGATACTTAAAAGGAAACTAATCAAAATTAAACAGTAGTCAGAGTTATATTCCTGTTCTTTTAATTTTGAGCATCTGACAAGGAGACATGTAGTTTATCGATTGTTTTAAAATTTGCTTACAGATTTCAATAATCTGTTCTAAAATAGATCTGTTAGATTATAGTTTAAATCTAATTAAATAAAAGAGATTTGTTTTATTTTTTTAGTTAAAAATTCGAATTTTTTTTTAAACTTTTGTAATTAAAGAGTAACTTTTGTATTTTGCTTCATTAAGCTCTTTCTAACTTTGTATTTTGTTTCATTAAGCTTCTTACGAATCTCGACCAGATTTCACATTTAGATTCATGCATTTCAAGGCTGAAAACAACATCTGAAAGCATATTCTTAAATGATTTGAACAGCTTTAAGTTAAGCAACAAAAGAGAACACTCTATAACGTCGTGTATACTTAGCTATCACAAAATGTTCGCAACGTTGAAGACTGTGGGTGAATTATCACCAAATTTTCTAAAGTACTACAAAGTCAGAAAGAAGAAGGATCTTAAAGGGCTTTTTATTAACTCAAATAAAGTTTAACAGTTGGCATCAAGTCGTGCTTATCTAACAGCAACTTTTGGCTTAACTCAAAAGGTAATAAAAAACTTAATCGAAGTCGGCGTAAACAAACCTAATGGCAGGAATAGCTCAACGCCGCCGAATTCTAATCGCTTCAGAATCAAAGTTAGCGACATGACTTTCAAGCAGACAAAACACGTTCTGATTTCACCCTCCAAAACCTTTCTTAAAACGCTTCCTTCTTCTGCCTAATTTGAATATTGCGCTTGCTGGAAATTTGCATTCCGGCGGGGAAAAGAAGTTAGGTGTGATAGTAGAGGTACTTAAAATAACGGGTTAGAAAATTAAACGGAACTCCACAACTTTAATAATTTAACTCAACAACAACAACTCTCAACAACAACAAAAGAACAATACCACACGCACACAAAGAGAAAAAAAAAATTACATTACTGTTCTAAAATGCTTCCGCAACGCATAATTAAAGTTAACAAACTCGGAATGAATATTCTGAGAAAAGCAAAGTAGTGAATTATAGAAACAAATAAATAAAATGCAAATAAAAATAAGATTATAAAAAATCTGAAAGGCGTTCATATTTGAACTGTTTGCCCAAAAGGACTACTTTAAATTTCAGTAGGGTTTATCAGCAGAGATTATCAATGGAGATGGCCCAGGTGCAATAAATAGCATTGCAATTTTATAAGCTACTAGGATCAATACACAATTACACTAACATAGGAACATTATATATCTTCTATATTTCTGTAAAGTGAACAAAATATACATTTGCCGAACGGCAACAGACCATGGACCTTACAAGAGATAGACTATCCCACTGGGCGGGGCGCGCGTCACCGACATGTCGACAAGAAAGAGTAGGGACGATCTGGTTTACTTTAACACTGAAACCTATGGCGTTTGTATCACATAACTCTTTTTAATTATTAAATGTGATACGCTGTATAGTGATGAGATTATGAAAGCCACAGTTTTTCCCAAATAGGATTTAATATTTCCATTAAAGCACTTTTTACTGCATTTCGCGCATTTTTTTCACGCGTAATTTTTGTACAAACATCTTTACTTTGGTAAAACGGTAAAAACTCTAGGCACAAAATTTATGAACTTAATTTTGCGTACAAATAACGTAAAATTAAATAAGATTGATAATACGTGATGCTTTGAAATAAAGTAAAATTAAGCAAAATCTGATCATTTTTTTTTTTTTTTTTTAAAATTTAATGACCATTATCAGGCAGTGATTTTCAAAACTATAACATTACAAAACAATCATTTATTTGATTATATCATCATTAACATATTAACGTTAAAGTGGGATATTTATTTTAGTAATTTATAAAAATTGGAGCATAAAATACTTTGAGTGTAATGAAGGGAAAAGAAAAAAGGGAAAATAAAATCTAGAAGCACACAGATTTTATATTACGCCCAAAAGGAACTTTTTTTAACGCTTTGTGTGTTACCTATATTTAGTGATTATCATGTTCTTTGCCAGTAAACCACATACATTTGACAAAGCATATCTTTAGAATTTCCGCATTGGAGATAAAACTGTTATTTTCCGTACATTGCTGTCTCTGAACTCGTTGAATTTGTTAATAAAAAATTCATTAATATTTTACAAAATATGAAATAGATTAAAAGAAATTCGAAGTTCAGCCGTCCAGATGACCATGTTCGGGTGGAGGATTACATTATTCAAAATTTGATGGCTCTAGATACTTTCGTTTTAGTCACAGTGTGAGAAACACACATGCATTCATGCAGATTCTTAATTATTTAATTTCTTTAAATATAATACAGGGCGATAATATTTGGTAACAACAATTTGCAAGGAGACACGGACATTTATAGTAAAACAGCGCAAAATGCCGCTTCGAAACTAACAGCCTTTCTAGGCTACCGCCCCTTTAGGCTAATAAATTAAATTAAAACAATAAATAAAAAAAATCTTATGCAGAACTAAAAATAATCACTATAAAATACAAGCAAAATTAATTATTACAGTTAAATACAATTTTAATATTAGAATTAAATGTATAAAAATTTTTAAGGAATCAAAAGTGTTTATCACTATGATGTATTACGAAATATAATTGAAATAAAATTCCTTTGTAGAAATTATGTTATAATATTCATCTATAATTTTAAAAAAGCAGCGCAGTTTAGGATTTTAAACAAAACTTTCAAAAACTCGTTTTTAATTATTTTAGTATTTTTTATTTATTTACACCAATAAAAAGCGTAAAAATTGCAAGAGAATATTGCTTGTTTGAAATTTTCTATTAGTTCAGATTTAAAATACTATTTTCTAAAAGAAGTAGTTACTAATTTCCTTATATCATAGGAAAAGCTAAAATAAATATCCAGTCTTGAAAGCATGCAGTAGCTTTATAATTATTTGGAACGTTAATTATGCTTGATAAATATGCTAAATTTTTAAAAATCAATCTCAATTTCAAAAATAAAAATATATAGAAATTCTAATTTGTGAAATGAGGCGCTAGAACCAGCTTTTTCTTCACAAATTATACACGCTGCAATAGGCAACCAATGTTAAATTTCTGCAAGTCGTCCCTACTCCTCCGGATGTGATCAAGGTGACAGCCGGCAATGCCTCAGACGAGGGAGAAAACCCGTTTGGGTTAGTCTATTTCTTATAAGGTCCATGCAACAGACTTGAATGAAGAGTGAAACAAGGAAAATCGCTTTTTGAGACCAATAGCCGTTTTGGGCTAAAAATATTTTTTCATAAATCTGATTATGCGCAGCTAAGTACAAGATCGGCAACATCTGGAAGAAACTAAATTTAATTTTTCTTAGAGCCAGATATTTTACGATTCTTCTGGTTACATGCTATCTTTCTATATGAGAATGCAATTTAAAATAATAATAATAATAATTCCATTATCTGAAACATTTTGATTAAAATTTAGAATTTAAATAAAATTTAAAAGAAAATATAAATCATAAATATCCCCCCCTGCCTTAAAAAGATGCAATTTTATTTTTGTCTACAGATTCCAACTAAACAGTTACGGCAGAATTAATCTTTGGAATTTCAGGATACAAAATATAAAACAAATTTTAAAACAGCTGTTCCGAACAGTATCCCAAATAGTAATAGTGGTTGCTGTGGATATTATTCGCGCATGAATTAATGCTACATGAAGACAAGCATAATTATTCACGATGTAGCTACATACTTTTTCCCCTGCATCGCTCGTAAGATACAGCAAGAAAAGTAGCACCAACTGTGGTTTTTATCAGATCACGAAGAACCGCGCAGTGAAAGCAACATTTCTCTTGGAAATGTTCGAAAAGACGGGATATGTAACAGCTGAGTTTAACTTTTCATTATTAACATGCATTAAAATATCATTTTTGCCTCTTCAGTTTTTTTCATTGCATAGCACCAATACTTTCTCCTCTGTCATTATACTTTTTATATTAAATTACTTTAAAATTGCAACTCTTATTTATATTTAGAATTATTTATCAAGCTTCATACGTTTATAAATCATTTTAATTTCTTTTCTTTTGTTTCTTATCAATAAAATGAAGAATTTCAAACAGCTTCGTTCACGCTACGAAAAAAATATAAAGGAGTAAACAGGACATTAATAAAGTTCAGTAATAACACATACATTTTTCATTTATTCGCCTTCGTGTTCCATTCCTAGAAAGCAACATTAAAACGAAAACTTGAATTCACAATCTTGAAGTTACAAAAAGTTATCACACGTTATCTTTTTAAGCAGAAGATTCCAATACTTAAATGACAGAAATAATCTCTTACCACTCGGTTCTGAAGCAATGACTCTCGAAACCAACATTTCCACAAAAATAAATTGTTCCCGCTCTTAAAATATTACAAAAATATAATAAACCTCTAAACTCCACTCTTTTTAACAAAAAGTTACTCTAATAGTTTGACATCTCAGATCGAATTGTATTTACGCCACATGCTGCATTAATTGATGATCATTTCTGGCGTTATTTATTCCTCGAGGATTGGAAAAATAAGACTCAAGATAGTTTTCTTCTCTCCCGCTTTATCATCTCGTGGAAAAAGCAAGAGAGATCAGACGAGATTTCGTAGTCGTGCTGACAGATCAGCGGTAATGGCCGCTTGCTCACAACTGGCGAGAAAAGTTCCATCTGGCGCAGGAAACAGCTGGCCCCTGAAAACATTTCTGCAAGAAAGAAAGTCAACAGCACACAGGCTTCCTATGCACCATTCTAGTTTAAAGTCACTAAATTTTCAAGCAAGTTTCTGATAAGATTTAAAAATAAATTTCCTTTAGATGCACATGAATTAAGAGCAGGGGGAAACTGAATATAGGATAAGTTTTTTTATCTTTAAAATAGTTACAATAACAAGCTCGGAAATTTACGGTCACTTGTTATATCGTTACATGAACAGAATATCAAAGTGGGAATAAGGAAACTCAATGATTTAGTATTTTTAATTTTTGCATGAAAAATAAGCAAAAAGTATTATTTTTTTATACAAAAGGTGTAACAAAATTTTTTTCACATGTTCAGCCTCCAGATGGCAGATGCGTCGATTCAAAAAACAAGTCAGCTTAAAAAAAAAAGTTGTTTGTTTATTATGGAAAGACGAAAAAATTACTATCACAAACCAAAAGCGCAAAACAAAACTGTCTGCGGGAATACTAAAAGAGAAAGAAAAATAAAAAACAACAGGGAAACAACAGGGATCGTAGATGATGTCTGTTAGGATCCTAAACTCCATCCCCTACCCCCCCCCCCAAAAAAAAAAAATTCTAAGCGCTTTTGCTTCGCGAGTTTCAGCTCGGTGCTATTTTTCAAGTTCACTTGTAAATTCTATAAATTCTTTGATGCCATTTACAACTTTGTCCCTAATTTTAAATGCTGTTTATTCTTGCATTTTAAAAGATTCACATTTGTTATATAAAAGAAAAAGGTCTGAATGTTTTACAGAAATGAAGAGTAATGATGATAATCATATAACTTTCCCTCAAAATATAGTAACTCCCATAACTAAAATTAAAAAAAAAAAAAAAAAAAAATCCTTTGCTAAATTTTAGAAAATTCGTATAACTAAAAATTAATAATACTCTTTTCTGGAATTTAAAACAGAGTTCATAAACTTAATTCCAAATAAACTCGAAGCAACCTATGGAAATCTAGTTAATTTGCTTTTTTTAATTTTAAATAAATAATGTAACAAAAACTAAATAAATTTCACAAATGCGATTTTTTGTGAAATTATTATATGATTATCACTTCTGTATCTTAATCAAAATTATTGTAAACAGTTTATGAAGCACAAAAACTTAATTAGTTAATGTTTTTTTTTTTTTTTTTTTTTTTTTTTTTTTTTTTTTTTTCTTCAAATGGCAGATTGTAAACAATTACAAATGTAACCCAGTCTATTAACCTATACAGGGCCGGATGTGGTGGTCTCTTTATTATGGAGGCACCTAATAGGTGGGCCACCATCGCCTTTCCTATGATTGGACGGACAGTTACAACCATGCCTTCTCCGGAATTCGAACCCAGGCCTTTCGGCATCGCAGTCAGCTTCTCTGACCGCCATACCTACTGGGCGGCAAAATTAGTTAATGTAGTTAATGAGAATATTCAAGGACAAAAGAAGAGCTCCAGAAAAGAAATTTTAAAATACCGATAGCTTCAAATTTCTCAGCTATCATTTTACAATTGAAAGAAAACAAAATTAAAAACCCATATATTTCAAATGAATAAAATACTTTATTCTAATAACGTAAATATATTATTAAAACGAATTATATGTTAATTACTAAACATTTTTAATAGGCTTTACAATCTGTAGTTGCTATATAACTTTACTTATTCACCATTATTATTAAATGCGATAAAAATAACTTGTTAATAAAAGAGATGTGGTTTAAACTACATCAAGACAAGTTACATCAAGACTACATTTTTAGTGTCTTTTTGTTTTCAACATTTTATACCCACGAAAACAGCACAAGACTCCAAATTCCAGTTCACTATCTTTCCCAACGATATGGCAACTGTTACGCAAGCATCCTTGTTTAAAAAGATACCATCCTCAACTGCAACATTGACATATACTTGAAAACTGATTGGTCGGCAAACGTATTGTCAAGGAAAACTTTCAAAACGACTATCTTCAGAAAAGCTACTCCATAAACACGCCAAACACTATATATTTTTTCGTACAGAAATTGACTGGATTTTTGAGGCTTAGTATATGGGTATAATACTTGGCAACAAGTTGACTGTTTGTTTGTATAGACTTACTCTTAAATTTAATGTCAAAACTTATAACTCTACATCCCATCCTTTGGAAACTTCACGTCCTTTTATTCTTCATCTTCACCGCAATAGCTTACAAAAGATGCAGATTAGTAACAGGAAACTATATGTCGCAGATGAAAGAGTTATGAATATAATTGACGGATACATTCATTACACAGCTCATAGACAATTCGGGGAATGAGAAATTACTAATCAATGTCTTAATCCAATTAATTATTAAATTCAATCACATTAAGTCATTTACCGTTTATAAAGCTCTATTTCATACATTTAAAAGGTATTACAGTTCTGTTAAGAATCTCTACTTATTAACATTAAAAATAATAATAATAAAATTTGGATAATAATTTAAATTATTCTTGGTTTAAACCTACATATAGCACAGGATTTGGAATTGTAATATCTGTTTGATTTTGCATCGTACCTAACCGGGACTCGAATTCTGTATGTACCTCTCAAATACGCCTCAAGTATGATTTCGGTTACAACACAAAGGCATACGAAAGGAGAGAGAAAATACACTGGTTATCAAAAATGCGCCTCAAGTATGACTTCGGTTACAACACAAAGGCATACGAAAGGAGACAGAAAATACACTGGTTATCAAAAATTAAGAAAAAATCACAAAAATCACGATTATTGAAAAAGTGACATGTAGAATTTTATGAAACTTACCCACAATATACAACACATAGTAAGGTATCAAATTACATAAAAAGAAATTACCAGACAATTATAGTAGTATAGAAATTAACACATGTATAAAATGAACATATCGAAGATGTCAGTTTGCTATAGTAAAAGTACCTTCAATATGGAATATAATCGCCTCTAGAAGCAATGCAGCACATTCAGCGTGCTTTCAATTATGCGGTCTATCATTTCCATAGGAAACGAGAGCCATTGCTCTTGCAAAGCAGTTGCAAGAGCGGCAAGGGTCTAAGGGGGCGGATTGAGAGCAGCTAAATGTCTCTCTCAAGCATCCCAAACGTGCTCGATACGATTCAAGTCCGCGGATCGAGCTGGCCACTCCATGCGCATAATTGTTTCCTGTTGAAGATAATCATCTACGATGCGAGACCTGTGTGGTCTTGCATTCTCGTCCTGTAACAGGAAAGCATCACCTATTGCCCCGGCATATGGGCGCACATAAGCATCAAGGATGTCATCTCTATAAACATGAGCAGTCACGGTTCCCCTTGGAAAAACATGTAGGTCTGTGCGTCCACCCAAAAAGATGCCACCCCAAACACAGACACTGCCTCTTCCGTATGCATCTCTTTCACGGATGTTTGACGGATGATAAACGGGTTCCAGGTTCTCTCCATATCAAATAACGCGTACTATCGCGTTCTAGACTAAACCTGGACTCATCCGTAAAGAGAATAGCCCTCCATTGCTCAGGCGTCCAGTGGACATGTTGTCGTGCCCACTGCAAACGGTCCCTCCTATGGCGTGACTTGCGCAGCACGCAAATGATAGTTCGCCTTGCATACAGACCACCTTCTTGAAGCCTTCTACGCATAGTTGACGCTGACACCAACCTTCCGGTGGCTGCAGCAAGGGAGGATCTAAGGAGAGTCGGAGTAGCGGTTCTATTCCTGAGTGCACATAATGTCAAATATCGGTCATCCGCGCTCGTCGTAGCAGTTGGCTGAACCACCTAGGTGCCGAATCTGTGATTTGAAATTGCCTCCAAAGTCTATGAACCAGAAAAACACTCACATTTACCCATCTGGCCACTTCTGTTTGACTTTGTCTTGCTTCTAATCTCCTAATGGCTTTCTGTCGTAGTTCTGCAGGCAAATAATGCCTGGAGATCATTGTTACGAATTTGGCTATCTCAGATTTCTGATGTCACTATCACAGTGAAATATGTGGGCTTGCTCTCAAACTTGGACTTCTATGCTCCTCGCAGATGACGTATTCCGAGTGCAGCGCCACTAATTTGCATATTGGAGTTTTACTCGGCTACTCTTACTTGGCAACATATTCAAATTTTACACGGTTTGGCTTATTTTTGAGGGAGTTATCGCTATTTTTGTGATTTTTCCTTAATTTATGATAACCAGTGTACTTTAGATGCTCCCCTTTTTAAAGGGCGCCTGAGAATTAGGGGACTTAATCGCTAAATCCTCTTGGTGACGAATTATCGGCCACTACCTTTTAGTTCGGGCCCCCGCAGTGAGCAGAAGACGTGAAACGTGTACAGTGTTCTCGCCGGGACTCGAACCCTGAACCACCCGAATACGTATCGAGTCTGCTTCCAATTGCAACACTAAGGCATGCGGAAAGAAGGAAGAAAATATCTTATCATGAGATTTCGGTTAGAATCCAAAAATAACAAGCAAGATAAGCTAAGATCTTACAAGCAAGATAAGCTAAGACCTTACAAGCAAGATAAGCTTGTAAGAATTATGTTAATTTTATTAATAGTTAAATTTTGAGTTAAACTTCTTTCCTGTCAAATTCTTAACTTCAACTTACTACTTCCGGTCAGAAACGTAGATTTAGAATCACGTCTGAATGCTAATGA